GGAGATAGAATTATAGCTTTAAAGATTGTTATTGATGCTAAAATTGTTAATATTATAAATGTTTATGCTCCTCAAGTAGATTTAGATGTGTTCAAAATTAAAATTTTGAAATAACTTAGAAGAATTAATACAAAACATATCTCTTAAAGAAAAAGTTTTTATTGAAGGAGATTCAAATGGACATGTTGGTAGAAAGGTAGATGATTTAAAAGCATTCATTATGGCCATGGGTTTGAAACGATAAATAAAGGTGGTAAAATCATATTAGATTTTTCTTTAGTTTATGATTTTTTAATTATTAATACTTTATTAAAAAAAAATTATCATCTCATCACTTGTAAAAATGATTATAGTAATACTCAGATTGATTATTTTTTATGAAAAAATTAAATCGTTTAGATTGCAAAAAGTGTAAAGTTATTCTGAGTAAAAATTTATGTATCCAACATCGATTATTAATTTTTAACTTTAAGATAAAAGGACAAAAAATAAAAAATAAAGTAAAATGATATTCTAGGATTAGATTGGGGCATTTAAAGAATATTAATAAAAATATTTTTATGAGTAAATTTTAGATCTTAAGATTTTATCTGTGCATGAGGATACTAATGTTATGTGGAAAAAAGTAACTAATAATATTAAGAATATTACAAAGGATATGCTTGAAATATCAAATGAAAAAGATGTAATGATAAAAATAGTTAGTGGTGGAATCCAAATATGCAAGATAAGATAAAAAACAAGTAGATTTGTTATAGAAATTGGTTTAAATGTAAAACTTTGTTAATTGGGACAGATATAAAGAGGCATGTAAAAAATCTAAGAAAGCAATACACGATGCAAAGATCTTCGCTCTTAATAATTTATATAATGGATTAGATAATAAATAATGAGAAATATATATGTATAAGTTAGCCAAACAAAGAGATATGAATAGTAAAGATTTAGTTCAAGTGAAGTGTATTAAGAATGAAGATCAAAAAAGTATTTTTCTTAGAAGATGATATTCAACAAAGATGGATAAAATATTTTGTTGAACTTTTTAATGAAGAATGTGAAAATACGATTAACTTTAGTGATCTTAGCACCTTAAATGAAAATAAATATTTACGTTTTTATCAGTGTATCAGTAAAACTGAAGTTAGAGAGACTTTAAAGAAAATGAAATGTGGAAAAGCTGTTGGACCTTATTATATTCCAATAGAGGTGTGGAAATGCTAAGGAGATGAAGGAATTTCTTGTCTCACTAAGTTTTTCAATACTATTTTGAACACTAAAAAGATGTCAGATGAATGGGGAATGAGTGTGTTAATTCTTATTTTTAAGAATAAAAATCATGCACAAGATTGTGCGAATTATAGACCAATTAAGTTAATTTGTCATACTTTAAAACTATGGGAGCAAGTTATGGAGCGTAGGTTGCGGCGTAATACTAATGTTTCTCAAAATCAATTTGGATTCATGCCGGGTAGGTCTACTATGGAAGTCATACATTTATTGAGAGGTTTGATGAAGAAATATAGAGAAACTAAGAAGGATCTACATATGATATTTATCAATTTAGAGAAAGCATATGATAAAGTTTCAAAAGAACTGCTATGGAGAGTTCTTGAAAAGGAGTTAATAATGCTTATATTCAAATCATTAAAGATATGTATGCATGAGCTATTACTTGTGTTCAAATACAAGGTGGTTTGACCAAGTATTTTCCTATTTCGATTGGATTACATTAAGGATCGGCCATAAGCCCATATCTTTTTGCTTTAGTCATGGATGCTCTCACTATAAATTTTCAAGAGGATGTACCTTGGTGTATGCTTTTTGCTGATGATATTCTTCTTGTTAATAAGACTAGAAAGGGAGTTGAAAGTAAACTTGAATAATGGAGGTCAACCTTAGAGTCTAAAGGTTTTCACTTGAGTAGATCTAAAACTGAATATATGGAGTGTAATTTTAGTAGTAATAAATCTAGTGAGAGAATTGTGACTTTGGGCGATCAAGTCATTCATAAGAGTACACATTTTAGATATCTTGGATCTATTGTTCAGAGTGATGGTGAAATAGATGGAGATATTATTAGCAGAATTCAAGTTAGATAGTTGAAGCGGAGAAATGCATCAGGATTGTTGTGTGATAGAAAGGTCCCCCTTAAACTTAAGGGAAAATTCTATAAGATGGTGGTGAAACCTGCAATGTTTTATGATGTCGAACATTGTCAATTAAAAGAGAAGCATAATATTAAGTTAAGTGTTGTAGAGATGAGGATGCTCAGGTAGATGAGTGGCTTTACTCATAGAGATAGGATACAAAATAAGAATATTCGTGAAAAGGATGGAGTAGCTCCAATGGAAGATAAGATTAGAGAGAGTCTCCTTAGATGGTTAGGTCATATAAAACGGCGGCCTTCCGATGACCCAGTTAGGAAAGTTGAGGTATTAAATTTAACTTATGTTAGGAAAGGTAGATGTAGCCCTAAAAAAACTTGGTTAGAGAATGTTAGAAATGATCTTTCCTTATTAGATTTAAATGAGAATTTGACTACACAAAGAAGAAAAAGGATCCATGTAGCTGATCCCACGTAGTGGGACAAAGGCTTGATGTTGTTGTTGTTGTAGCATGCAAATTATTAATTTAGCTCATATATAAAAAGTTAGAAATGGCAAAAAAAATAATTATTTTCCACATTAGAGATATATTGCATAGTATACATTACATACAAATTGAGCATGGCAAAGATGCGATCACCCAAACATCAATAATATATTTAAAAATACTCTTATTGATAAATATTCATGATATGTCAGGGAATACAATATACTAAGCGGAAATCCTTAAACTAATATAAATTCAGAAGTAGAACCACACATGATTGGAATGATAAGGTTGATCATTGATAAAGTTCCGTAATAAATTCAAAATATGCACGCAATGTTATTTTGCTGACATAAGGCATATGCAGGTATAATTACCCGGAACAAAAAAAACATTCATTCAAACTATTTCTCTCATTTCACCGTCAGTAAAAAATGGTGTGTTGAATAACATAGTTTTTTTTATGAAGACAAAATTTTGCATAAGAAATGACCAGTAAAATAAAAAAAGAACATCCACTCTGAAGAAGAACAGAGCCCTAATTTATGAGATATTTAGACTTCCTACCCTTCCCAAAAATGTGAATTTCAACCACATTAGCAATCCATCCAAAAAAAGAGAAAAATATTACAACACCAAAAATCGGGCTGCTTACCTACACTCTTCCCGATCACTCTCACTCCTTGACAAAAAATCCTTACAAGCTGCATCCACCATCACGTCGACCTTCTCCTCCATGGCAGCCAGATTTTCCCTTTCATCTTCTTTGGCATCCACTGCCTCCTCTGAATGCAAGATAACCAAAGTCATATTAGGGTTTGTTCTCCAACACCTCCACTTCCCCGTCGCAACTCGGCTCTTCTTGGCCCATATTGGGGCATCAAATACAAGCACTCATTGATCCATGGTAAACCCTAATACGAGCTCTAGTTATCGATGTTGGATCCTCTTTATCTCTACCTCCTTATGAGTGATTCATAACCGGAATAAAAGGAGATGAATTGGAGAGTTTCGATATTCTATGTGTATTAATCGAGAAATGAAAGAGGAAGATGGTACTAAGAAGATCGAGGAAGATGATGGGTGCAAATGGAACATCTTAATAAACTCACGAACTCCTCGTTCGCGAGATCAAGAGCGAGAGCATGTCAGAGAGCGAGCATCGGGATCTATTGTTCAGAGTGATGATGAAATAGATGGGGATATTATTAGCATAATTCAAGTTGGATGGTTGAAGTGGAGAAATGCATCAGGATTGTTGTGTGATAGAAAAGTCCCCCTTAAACTTAAGGGAAAATTCTATAAGATGGTGGTTAAACCTGTAATGTTTTATGATGCCGAACGTTGTCCATTAAAAGAGAAGCATAATACTAAGTTAAGTGTTGTAGAGATGAGGATGCTCAGGTAGATGAGTGGCTTTACTCTTAGAGATAGGATACAAAATAAGCATTTCGTGAAAAGGATGGAGTACCTCCAATGGAAGATAAGATTAGAGAGTGTCTCCTTAGATGGTTAGGTCATATAAAACGGCGACCTTCCGATGACCCGGTTAGGAAAGTAGAGGTATTAAATTTGACTTATGTTAGGAAAGGTAGAGGTAGCCCTAAAAAGATTTGGTTAGAGAATGTTAGAAATGATCTTTCCTTATTAGATTTAAACGAGAATTTGACTTTTAACAGGACACAATGGAGAAAAAGGATTCATGTAGCCTATCCCACGTAGTGGGACAAAGGCTTGATGTTGTTGTTGTTGTAGCATGCAAATTATTTATTTAGCTCTGACATAAAAAGTTAGAAATGGCAAAAAAAGTAATTAATTAATTATTTTCCACATTAGAGATATATTACATAGTATACATTACATACAAATTGAGCATAGCAAAGATGCGACCACACAAACATCAATAATATATTTAAAAATACTTACTCTTATTGATAAATATTCATGATATGTCAGGTAATACAATATACATATCGGAAATCCTTAAACTAATATAAATTCAGAAGAAGAACCACACATGCCTGGCATGATAAGGCTGATCATCGATAAAGTTCCCTTATAAATTCAAAATATGCACGCAATGTTATTTTGCTGACATAAAGCATATGCAGGTATAATTATCCGGAACAAAAAAAACATTCATTCAAACTATTTCTCTCATTTTACAGTCAGTAAAAAATGGTTTGTGTTGAATAACATAGTTTTTTTTTTTTTTTATGAAGACAAAATTTTGCATAAGAAATGACCAGTTAAATAAAAAAAGAGCATCCACTCTGAAGAAGAACAGAGCCCTAATTTATGAGATATTTAGGCTTCCTACCCTTCCCAAAAATGTGAATTTCAACCACATTAACAATCCATCCAAAAAAAGAGAAAAATATTACAACACCAAAAATCGGGCTGCTTACCTGCACTCTTCCCGATCACTCTCACTCCTCGACAAAAAATCCTTACAAGCTGCATCCACCATCACGCCGACCTTCTCATCCATGGCCGCCGGATTTTCCCTTTCATCTTCTTTGGCATCCACTGCCTCTGAATGCATGATAACCAAAGTCAGATTAGGGTTTGGGTTCGAATCGATGTTGCTCTCCAACACCTCCACTTCCCCGTCGCAGCTCGGCTCTTCTTGGCCCATATTGGGGCATCAACTACAAGCACTCACGATATTGATCCATGGTAAACCCTAATACGAGCTCTAGTTATCGATGCTGGATCCTCTTTATCTCTACCTCCTTACAAGTGATTCATAACCGGAATAAAAGGAGATGAATTGGAGCGTTTCGGTATTCTATGAGTATTAATCGAGAAATGGAGGAGGAAAATGGTACTAAGAAGATCGAGGAAGATGATGGGTGCAAATGGAACATCTTAATGAACTCATGAACTCCTCGCTCGCGAGATCAAGAGCGAGAGCATGCCAGAGAGCGAGCTTTTTACGTGGTGGGGGCCAGGGGTGGAAAAGAAGTGGTTTCATTTCTCTTTATTAACTTTATAGAATTTATTTAAAATTTATAAATTCCTATAAAATAAAGATAATTATAACTGAGAAAGAGACTTTTCGCCAGCTCGATGTCGTCCACCCACCTCATAAATAATTGGATCTGTGCAACATTTCTATTCTAACATGAAGATTTGGTTTCTATGCACCTAAATTGTTGCATTCAAATTTATTTGTTGAAAATACATGATAAATGAAGAGCGAGTAAGTGACCTAAAAATGAAGAGAGAGTAAAGAGAGTATAGAGGAAAGTTGTATGATACTCAAGAAATTATTAGTCTCAAAACTAATAGAATATCCATTATGTCAGTCAAAAAGTTCAGCATAAAGTCCCAAAATGTTACTCATCATTTTTTATTTATTGAATTCTATGACTACATAAAAATCTACATAAGAAAAGGTAAAAAAAAGAGTATAGTGCAACAAAACATATATTTACAACACTACATGCTACCCTAAATGCATGTCACCTCATGATAGTCCGATGAAGGGTGAGGTCAACTGGCTTTGATGAGTTGCTTCCGAGGGAGTATAGTAGTACGAGTTAACAAGGGCTAGTGTGTTTTGGCGTGCGCAAATATAAGAAGGGATCAGGGATTGGTGGGTTCGTTGATGTGGTCAGCGACTTCTATGGGAGCTTTGAGATCGCCTGAGTAGAGAGACAAGTGAGATGTTGTTGTGAGATGGGAGAACTCTAGCTTGGATGGTCATGGTGAGTCGAAGTGAGAGTTCTATGAATAAGCATCTTCATGTAACTAAGTTTGCAAAAATGGTCACTTTGAGAGATAGCGAATAACTAAGATGTAGTCTCGGCAGGTGGTGAGTGCGAGCTGCTATCTCTTGACAAGAACCCTTGATTTGCCCATGCAAGGCGAGCTTCAAAGAAAACATGAGCTAGTGAAGCCTGTTGGTCAGTTCGGGCGAGTTCTCCTGTGAGTTCTAGAGGGCCATTTGGGTGGGTGAGTTCATCTATCATGACGTACAAGCTTTATTAGATATCTATGAAGGCATACTAGTTTTATGTTTCAATTATATTTACCTGAAGCAACCTAACAAAAAGTAGTGTTGAGCCTTGTTGGTAAAGGCATGTGTATTCGTGTGTGTGTGTTTCTTTTTATTATATAATTTTATATATATATATATAATTTAATTCATACCTTTTTTAAATTATTTGCATGGCCCTGTTAAGAAAATTTTATGAATACCATTGTGTTGGACTAATGAAAATTTTCAATTGCCAAATATGAAATATAAAGTAATTGAATTTGTTGCGGGCTAGAATATTCGTGGTTGTAGAGTGAGTAATTGTTTTTTGTCATAGCAATGCATGGATATCCGGCAAACAAACAGAGAGAAAGAGCAGTAAAACACCCAATCTTTTTTATGTGGAAAATCCAAAGAGGGAAAAACTATGAGTTCCACCCAGTTCAAAAGATTCCACTAAATTTTAGTGAATTATTAAAGTTGAACCGTCCCTTAACTTAGAGGTAGCCGAATTGCAATAGTTTAGAGAGTTGTGAAAAGGTCTGGCGATTGTCTGACGGAAGTCTTACCATGTTCAGGCAGAAGTGCAACTAATGGGGGATGATCCAACGATGGTTGAGCAGAAGTTCGGCGACGGTCGGCGACCAAGTAGCGGTTTGACAATGGTCGGGCGGAAGTCTGGCGGCGATCGACGACCAAGTGGAAGTCCGGCGATAGTCGATATGGGTTTGTTGGAGGTGGCGCTAGAGCTCTTGAAGTGTGAGAGCTCTCTCTATTCTTCAACTAAATGCTTCTCTCATGTAGATAGTGGGGGTATATTTATAGATTTTCATATGTGGCAAACCCTTTAAATATAAAGAATATCTGGGGCAGGTTGGAAGTGCTCCATCGAATGACTCTTATTAATTCCTCCGATCATAGAGCAATTTTCAACTGTTTAAGTACATTAATAATATTGGAATTTAGCGATCTTGAGCTCTTTGGATTTGTCTCGCCGAGCCACTCGATTTCACTATATGCATGGCATATTTTGCTATCACTTTTTCATCCAAATAATGCTATAAACCTTTCAAATATCCTTCAGACTCTTGATTTGGACCCATTTAGATTCAGATCAGACCGATTTTGGTGTTGTTAGTTGTCTCTTCGAGACATTTTGTTTGACTATAAATTTGTTGAAATTGGAGTTCAGATGGTCCCGAATTTTATTTTAGAAGTTTCCAACTTGAATATGCCTTGAGATTCATGCACTACCAAGATGATTTTTGGTGACGTATCATTGTCTCCCTATTTTTTGATGTTAAATCTTACATAGTCCAAAAATATTTAAATAATTTAAATATTCAGCAAAGTCAGAGCATAAATTGAAGAATAAATTTAGAAAATTGTTCTCCAAACTATTTAAATTTGCTTGAAATTGAATGTAGTTCCGATGGGATCTCAAAGTATTAAAATTGAGCTCGAAATATAAAAAAAAGATTTTGAGGATCCAAAAAATGTCCAAATTGGACTTTCTATGATAATTAACTAATTAATTAATATTAATTAAAATTTTTATTTTTTTTCTCCTACCACTCTATAAAGAAGGAGAGTTTATTACGTGCGATCATTGAATTGTCTCGAGGAGAATCAGGATGTGTTACATCACTTGGTGCACAGTGGTACACAACACCGATACAACACAAAAAAGTGTGTGACGCATCCTAATTCGCCTCCGAATGATCTCCAGTGATCGCACGTAGTAATTTCACCTAAAGAAGGAAACTATAGTAGCCGCCTAAATGAGGTGGTGAAAGAATTAAAAAAAAAATAATTAATTTAATTAATTAAATCCTTAATAGTAAAATACTATTTTTATCTTAAAAAATTAAAAAAAATCCTAAAAATTTTAGAATTTTTTCTTGAATGAAAATAATTATTTTTTGCATATTTATCTTATTTTTAAATAAATTGCTTTTAATTTGTTTTCTATTTTAAATTTTCAATAATAGGAATTATTTATTTTTTGGGAATTAAATTTTTTTTAATATTAATTAAAAATTCATAAAATTACTCTCCAACTTTCTTTGGAAAATTATAAAAAACCCCTTAGGGGCTAGGAAGAAGGCACCACTTTTTTTAGCCGGTCCAAAATTTTCTCCTACAAACAAAGAAGAAGTCGGTTTGGCAAAAATTTAAACGTTTTTTGCAATCGAAATAAAGACCTAATACTCTTACGCAAGCCCCAATTCACTCTTAGCGGGGGAAAAATTATCCGGCAAGAGTTTAAATATTAAAAGTAATGATCAAAGCCCGATACACTTATGCAGGCTCCAATTCACACTCGTTGGGGGAAAACTGTCCCGCAAGAGTTTAAATACTAGAAGCGGTGATCAAAGCCATGTACTCTTAAACAGGCTCTAGCTCACTCCTAATGGTGGAAAATTGTCTAGCATGAGTTTAAATATAAGAGATAACGATCAAGGCCCATTACTCTTGGGGTGCCATAGTTATCCAACAATTCGTATCAAAGCCTTGGTTCTTTTTATTTTGGCTTAACAACATAGAGTAGATCCACTTATAAACTATGGCACAATGTTTTCCTAAGGGTTCACTTCCCGAAGGATAATCCACTCATCATCCACCATTATTAGATAATATTCATTTTGATTATTAGAAAAATAGAATTAGTACATTCTTAAGAGGGCAAGACTCTTTGATCATAAGTTCGTTATAAAGTCCCATCAAGTACAACTTTAAATAAAAATTCTTCTTATATGTCATATAGACATCATGCAAAGCCATATGTAAATACTAATATTTTATGTAATTATTATGGTAGAAAACGATATATCTCATTTGATTACTATGCTCGTAAATCACAGAATACTAAATAATCATCTTTTGTATGAGTTCCAAAAAATAAAAGTACTTTATATACCATACATAATAGATACCATACTAATTTAAAATGTGGACCCAAAAATATTTGGATTATGAAAGTTAACATTTGATTTTCTTTTACAGAAATGCCTTCAAAGTGAAATCAATGAAGGCATGTGATACTTGGACAGTTAATGTTCAAGACATATGACAGGCGATAAACAAAATTCTGTATATTAGAACCAAGTGATGGAGGATATATCACATATAGAGATAATGCAAAAGAAATATTATAGGCATTGGATCCATATGTAAGAAGTATATTACATTAGAAAAAGTCTTATTTATTTCTAGTTTAAAATATTACTTAATATCAATCAGTCAATTATGTGATAAACATTTAAATGATTTTTTATGCTTCACATTGCGTTATTAGAATTAATGTAACTATTTTACTTATAGGAAATAAACATAAAACTATTTATTTAATTAATTTAGCTAATGCAAATGATATTAATTTGAATTTATTTTACATGAAATCTACAAAGGACGATGCTTGATTATGACATAGAAGGCTATGTCATGTCAATATCCACACTTTAAATAAAATTTCTAAACTTGATTTAGTACTTAGTTTACCAAAAATTAATTTTCATTTTGATTCTATATGTGATGCATGTATTCATGATAAACATATGAAAAGTTCATTCAAGAGTAAAAATATAATTTCTACGAGTAAACCTTTAGAATTATTACACGAGGATGTATTTGGGCCAATTAACAAAACTAGTTTATGTGGTAAAAATTATGAATTTGTTATTATCGGTGATTATTCAAGATGCACTTGAGTGTTATTCTTAGCTGATAAAAATAATGCATTAGATGATTTTAAGAAATTTTCTAAGTATATTCAAAGAGAACAAGGTTATTTGATTCATAAAATTCAAACAAATCTTGGTGGAAGATTTGAAAATAAATCATTTACAAATTATTGTAATAAAAATGAAATTAGATATAATTTTTCAGCTCCTAGAACTCCTCAACAAAATTAAATAGTTAAAAAAAACTATCATATTTTGATAAAATTAGCAAGATCAATGTTAGATAAATATAAACTTCCAAAAT